TCAGACCCAAGTTTTATCATAGTGTACTGCACTATCTCTTCCTTGGGCCAGGGGATGCCAACAGACTAGGGAGGAACACCCCCACATTGTGGGAGGACAGCTTCCAGCCATTTCACATTCCCCTTCCTTGTTTCAGTGGAGTACAGTAGTTCCTCCTGACCCCCTTTCTTCCTGGAGGGCACTGTGAAACTGCTTAGGTTCTCTTCTCAGTCATAGGGAGCTATCACCATGCCTTCTGTCATCTGGCCCTGCTGTGTTGTTCATAGAATTAAACTGTAGAAGCTGACACAAAGTTGGCTCTGGTTTTGCTTTCTGTAAGTAATCGGCTGCCTGGATCTACTTGGGCTTGCTGTTTCTTAACTAGCGGAGTCTAAAAATGAGGGAGGTCCACCTAGCAGATGCAGTAGCAGGCCTTGTGGTCCTATTACTACCTGAATGTGCTTAGGGGCTGCTTCACCACTTGACAAAGAGGAACATTTGGGGAGCCAGGTCTGTTCTATTCTGATCGAGGTAGTGGTTTTGTGTGTGTGTGTGTGTGTGTGTGTGTGTGTGTGTGTGTGTGTGAGAGAGAGAGAGAGAGAGAGAGAGAGAGAGAGAGAGAGAGAGAGAGAGAGAGAGACTCATGTATCCCAGATGGCCTCTCACTCTATGTAGCCAAGGGTGAGTCTGAACTTCTGACCTTCCTATCTCCACCACTCAAGTGCTTGGATTACAGATGTGTGCCTGGTTTATGTGGTGCTGGGGGTGGAACACAGAACTGTCTGCATGTTAGGCAAGCACTCTACCACCAAAATATACTACCAGCTTGTACTTCTTTGCACATTTATCAAAACTCATCAAGCTGTACGCTCAAGAAATGTAAATTATACCTGAATTTTAAAAAAAGAACGACAAAAAAGAACCACCAGAGATAAACAAGCACACTTGAACATAAAGTTTCTCACCAAAAATGAAAAATTCAATAGAAAGGTTGGGAAATAAATCTCTCTGAACACAGAGCAAGATACAAACAGCCACAGAGGGTAATAAAGCTGGTGGAGAGCTAACGCTTTAGCACCAGGCACGCCAGTTAGTGCACTCACCTGGAAAAATGGCCCTGATGATGATAAAAGAAATGGGAGTTAAATAAAAAGATTGTATTATGCCAGGCATGGTAGTGCACGCCTTTAATCCCAGCTCTTGGGAGGCAGAGGCAGGTGGGTCTTTGTGAATTCGAGGCCAGCCTGGTCTACATAGTGAGTTCCAGGACAGCTGGGGCTACAGGGAGGGAGACCCTGTCTCAAAACAGACCAAAAAAAAAAAGGCGTATTATATCTGGTTAATCAACTAAAAAATGGTTTTAGCAATATTTAACCTCTGTTTTTTGGCAGGCGAACTGGTACACTCCTTTCCAGGAGCGAAAGCAGGCCAGCCATCATCAACCACAGCAGGGCTTATCTTTTGCCCAGGAAACCTCACTGTTGCAAATCTGTCCTAAGATAATGTCTGTCCGCTTGAGCTGCTGTAACAAAAATACCATAAACTTAGGTGGCTTATACACAACAAACTTACTGCTTATAATCCTGGAAGCTATGAAGTCCCAGATCAAGAGGTGAAGAGATGTGTATGTGTGTGTGTGTGTGTGTGTGTGTGTGTGTGTGTGTGTGTGCTTGGAAAATAGCACGTGTGGAGGTCAGAGGACAACGAGCTGTGGTCAGTTCCCCTCTTCCACCATGTGGCTTTTCCGGGGATCAAACTCAGGTCATCAGGCTTGGCAGCAGGCACATTTACCAGAAGACTTATCAGAAGAGCTATTTCCCCCATCTCTGGGTGCTTTTATAAGGATGTTAATCTGATTCCTAAGGGCTCTGTCCACAATGAGCTAATCTTTTTTTCTTTTTTCTTTTTTGTCTTTTTGAGACAGCGTCTTCCTGTAGCCCCGGCTGGCCTGGAACTCACTATGTAGACCAGGCTGGCCTCTAACTCATAGAGATCCGTTACCTCTGCCTCCATAGTGCTGGGATTAGAGATGCCGCCACCACCACCAGGACCACATGAGCTAATCTTAACCTCACCAAAGCCCCACCTTTCGATAAGGTCACATTGGGGGCTAGAATTTCAACATATAAACGTGAGGACAGTGGTATGAATAGTCTCTATTAGATAGTAACTTGTTTGTTCGTTTCTTTTGCTATGTAGCCCCAGGCTCGCTTCTGTTTACTGGGATCCTCTTGCCTCAACCTCCCATATGCTGGGATTTCAGGCGGGCACCACTAGCCCAGCTCCAGATAACAGTTATTTTTTAAAAGTTTTACATTTCTGTTGTTTTACTGCTGTTTCTGATACAGTTTTACTACGTTGTCCAGGCTGGCTTCCAGCTTCTGAGTGCTATGATTTTCAGGTGTGCCACCAAGCCGGGCCAGACTTTAGCTAGGAAAGAAGTTACGGAAGTCGTAGTGATGCTCATCGCCTTATGGTTTCTTATGCTGCAGAATTAGAAACCAAGATACCCAGTAAAAGTGCAGCCATTAACAGTAATACCCTGGGTGGCAGGGAAGCCAGGGCCACCCGGATCGCACCACATTCCGGGGAGGCAGCACCCCTTTGCCTAAGAAGCGTCACTACGAAATCGGAGACCACCTGGAGCAGAGCCAGGCGGGGCTGCGAAAACCCAGCCCACACTTCTACGGTTTCCGATACAGTCCGATGCTTGCTCACTCCAGGAAGACCGAGATAAAGTTGCGGGCCCCTGCCCGGTTCCGCAGCGCGCCCGAGCCGTGCCCTGCCCGCGGCTGCGCAGAGCGGCCCCGCAGCACACCCGGTCCCGGGCGCTATCCGCCGGTGGCCCCGCCGGAACCGTGCCCGAGC